TACCGCCGGTCCCAAGCTTGGGTAAAGGAAGAGGGTTGGGCCTGCGGTTAGCGACCTTTATCCCGTAGAAAACTAACTCGCTACAAAAAACACTAACCAGAAAAAATAATTCGAACCATTTAAACTCTTCCCTGGGAGTTAGAAGGTCTTCATTTAGAAGAACTATGACGCTTCATGGTGAAAGCCGAGCTCCTTTGGAGGTCACGAGGTCGATGCCCCTTCTAACAACCAGAGCAACATTTTTTTATAGGTACATGGAAGGTCCGAACAATGTGGGAGACCGGGAAGACCAGTCAAATAGCAACGGAAATGAGGAGATACAAATTGGCAGTATTGAGAATCAGCGAAACCCACTGGACCCAAGCTGGACAGAAAAGGCTAGCTACGGGAGAGATGCTGCTATACTCCGGTCACGAGGAGGACAATGCTCCACACACTCAGGGAGTCGCTCTTATGCTGTCCAATGTAGCACGAAATGCACTTGTAGGATGGTAATCTCACGGATCCAGAATCATCAAAGCATCATTCAAAACAAAGAATCAGGGGATCTTAATGAATATTATCCAATGTTATGCACCCACCAATGATAGCAACGACGACATTAAAGATCAATTCTACGATAGGCTGCAATCAATCATAGAGAAGTGCCCAAGAAAGGACCTCACCGTTCTGATGGGAGATCTAAACGCCAAAGTCGGAATGTTATAAATCTAGAACAACATATATAAGCTAACAATATTGTTTTCAAGTAGATCCTCATCAGGCTTTACTCTAATATACAGTAATATTTATATGAATATACGAAATTTCACTAGTTGGAATCATGAGTCAATTGAAGCTAGACCACCATGGAAAACCTGGAAGCACTGGACGGCCGTTTCGTCTAGCTTCAGTTGACTCATGATTTCAACCAGTGAAATTTCTAAAAATCTCCACAAAACCCCTTCTGATATACGAAATTATTAAACCAATCAAGGTAGTTTATAAGTCAATGATAACAATGGAATAGATTACATAATAAGTGAAAAGTACAAATTGATAGTGTGATAACGGGTGCACTAGTTTTGATAAGAATAATAAAGGCTCAAATCAATTTTACATAATCGGAAGTAGGTCAATGATCAGAAAAATATAGACGGTGCTATTTAGAAAATTATAAGATGACGTAATAAGAAGTATTCAGATAATTGAACCGTGAAACGTATATTTGAGAGAAAATAAAATAAGATGGTAGGAGGGGGTGAAGAAAAATAATAAATGAAGAGAAAGTTTGAACAATAATAATAAACAAATAAATTCATTTATTAGGACCGAGGGAGAGATAAGGGTGATACAAATTTCTTCTGGACACAAAGACTTGGATTGTTGGCTCGAATTCCTATAGCTTCTGCTATGTGTAAAATACGAGATCGAACACCATAAGGAAAACGAGTGGGAATACGATAAATAACTTTAAATAACTTGTTTCTGTCCACTACATGACCGCTATCGATCAAGTGTGATAAAACCGAGCACTATAAAGGTTCAATACAGCCTTCTTTCAGAATACTAACAAACTTAACAAATTCAAGATAGCTCTCAACAACAGGTTCCAAGACTTACAGACAGTGGAAAAAGCTGCAAGAAAAAGAAATTTGAAACAGCTTTACGATACAACGAAGAAACTAGCAGGGAAATATAGTAAACCAGTCAAAGACAAAGAAGGTAGGCCAATCACTGAAATTTAAGAGCAGTGGAACAGATGGGCAAAGTACTTTGAGAAACTCTTGAAAAGGCCGGCTTTAATGAGTCCACTGGACATCGAACCAGCACACACAAACCTTCCTACAGACGTCACTCCACCAACGACCGAAGAAATCAGGATGGCCATCAGACAAATCAAGAGCGGGAAAGCAGCAGCACCTGGCAATATACCAGCTGAAGCACTGAAGTCAGACATCGAAGTAACTACAAACATGCTTCACCTTCTATTCAAAAAGTTTTGGGAGGAGGAACAAGTGTCGATAAACTGAGAAGAAGGACACCTCATCAAGATTCCAAAGAAAGGAGATCTGAGCAAATGTGAAAACTACAGAGGCATTACACTACTGTCAGTACCAGGGAAAGTCTTTAACACGCGAACAAATGCAGATAAAGACAACCAGTGTAGCAGCAGTCTCTGCATCAGTAGGCCTCAACATACACAAGGGGAAAACCAAGATCCTCAAATACAACACGGAGAACAGTAATCCAATCACTTTTGACTGCAAAACTCTGGAAGATGTAGAATCCTTCACGTACCTGGGAAGCATCATCGATGAACAAGGAGGATCTGATGCAGACGTAAAGGCGAGGATTGGCAAGCCAAGGGCCACATTCCTTCAATTGAAGAACATATGGAACTCAAAACAACCGTCAACAAATATCAAAGTCAGAATCTTCGATACGAACGTCGAGGCAGTTCTACTGTATGGAGCTGAAACTTGAAGAACTACTACAACCGTCATCAAAAAGTATAAGTATTCATAAATATTTGTCTACGCGAGATACTCAACATTCATTGGCCGGATACCATCAGTAACAGCCAACTGTGGGAGAGAACAAATCAGCTTCCAGCTGAGGAGGAAATTAGAAAAAGACGATGGAAATGGATAGGACATACATTACGCAAATCACCAAACTGCACTACGAGGCAAGCCCTAATTTGGAATCCTGATGGGAAGAGGAAAAGAGGAAGGCCAAGGAACACATTACTTCAGGAAATAGAATCAGATATGAAAAGGATGAATAACAACTGGGAAGAGCTGGGAAGGATTGCCCAGGACAGGATTGGATGGAGAATGCTGGTGAGCGGCCTATGCTCCTTCAAGGGGAGTAACAGGCGTAAGTAAGTGAGACACCAAGTGGATCAAAATTCCACAGATTCCTGTGTACGCTCAAAATCTTCGGAAAACGATGAAGAATTAACTTAAGAAGGATGTTGACAAATAATTGACAATGGCATAAGATATTGAATATTAGTAAGTAGTGCAATCAATATGCAAATCGTATGGAAATCAGGATTAATTGATGAAAATATTAAGCTGAATTAGTACCATCTAGTACTAAATTCAATTGAAATTAACAAATCTCACCTTGGTAATGACACTTGAAGTGGTTTTAGATTTTCTGCTTTCCTTCATAGAACTATCATAGAACAGTCTTTGATAAATATTCACAGAGTATCTCTTTTACTTAATTCATGATAAAGTTTTCTGTTGTAGCACAAGTGGAAACATTAACTAAGTGATTCAAAGCAGTCTGCTCAACGATATTCCCCAAATATGAAAGGTTCTGCCGCTATTCAATAGAATAAACATATTAGTTTTTGAAATTTCTTTCCTTTTTATACAATCAAACTAGACTGATTTTGCACTTTTCGTCAACTACCCTCAGCTTATGTGATGATATTATCCCAAATCTGTATTGGATTCAGTCAGTATTTAGGCTTTTTTAAATGCTTATGAACGTTTCATAGTGTATCGACACTCTCATGTAATTCGTCTGAATTCGCCTATCATATTAACAATATGAAATCCTCGAGATGGGGACATGAGCAAATGTGGAATTCACGTCAGCGTCTTTGAAGTAGGCTAAGTGAAAAACACTAACTTATCAATGCTATTCAGTAATCTACCTGAAACATGTGGAGAAGAATCATTATTACATTATGTTTCTACACTTAGTGTTCGACAAAATGTTGCACTGAAAGTCGAAGAGTAATAAATCTGAAGAGCGAAGCAAACGGTTTCTGAATTAGAAAACGTATACTTCAATTTGTTTACTTTCCAGTGTTTCTTTGACTGTTTTCTTATGAGAATCCAATATAGAATGATTTTATTTTCTTTAGCCATGTATATGTTTGTTGTAGATACTTTCGTTCGCTGACTTGTTTAAAAGCTACCAGTTGGTCAAATTATTACGAGAACGGATCTATTGTGTATTTATCTGTCTCACTATCGCCTATGATTTCAGTTGTGTTAGTTACAAATAAAATTCAAAATAAGCCCCTTCTAAATATCATGCTTAACTGGATAGTTCTGACTTTATCAAATACTTCTTGTACATGTTTCAACGTAATATTTCGTATTGAAGGACTATTTACTAAAAATATCTACACGCGATATCAAGAGATTGATTTGAATTAAAAATGAATTTTAGTTTTACAAATACATGCATTTGTAATTCCCGAAATAAACAATTTAACCGTCTACCATTATTTAATCAAGCACGTATTTTTTAATAACATTTCTCTGAAAGAGTTAAATCGATCAACTCACGTCGGCATTGTGCCTTAATAATGAATGCCTTGTTGAGTCATATTAGCTCTCCGTGTATGTTGATTGTTTTTTTGCCATCAGCAAGATACAAAAAGCGCTCCTAAAATCGATCTACTCTACTTACATTCTGCTTGGTATTAGGAGAGTCGACGTACAATATTCCGAAGACTACCGATTTTCGAATTGAGGCGTGACAACTCTTGTATGCAGACTTCACATCTTATATCAAAGATTAACAGGATTAACTGGTTTAAACAATTAAGCCTTTTTTAGCAAGGGTAACTTTACAGGAAGGATTTGTTGACCACATGCCCAACTCTGACATTTTACACGTAATTTGGACTGGAAGTAGCAATATATGGATACAGACATAAAATAACTCCCACAAACTGGGGTAAATCAATTTCGCTTACAAGATATGTTAAGTGATTGTGACCATAACTTGCGAAAATGATTTACGAAGTCTTCACTTATTAATGTCATCATTCTATTTTGTGTTAAATTCCAGTGTTCCCTTACAGTTATTTATCGACCTCCTTAAAATAGAAGTGTTCTATTTTGAAATGACAGTTCAACTAGCGCGTATACACATTTATTTGACCAACCAATTTATCAAATCAATTCATCATGATTTTCATTGGTTAAATAACATAGTAGAAAAGTATATAAACACATGAGTGATGCCACAAAATTAAACCCTCAAAATGAACATGCATAAGTGTTTATTCTTGGTCTCCTTATTGCCCGCCAGTGTGATCTGTAAGTTACTAATTTCTGTTGTCTTATGTGTGATTGGTTTACATTTTACATTTGTTATCCTGAGTGTCTACTGCATTTCTCAACTATTCGTATTGACACAAATAATCCGAATGTCAAATATTCCTTAGAAATACAAAACGTAAGTGTGGACAGAGCAAGTCAGCGAACCATCGTACATACGTAAGTAATAAAGGATGCAACCAACTGCTTCGAATGTTTCCAAGCAATGGTAAACATTCTGATCTTCACGGAACTGTCTTTGTTCTACAACGTTCTACAATGCAAAGCGTGCACATCTGTACTAACTCATTTCAACAACCATTATACTAGTGTATTCCACAGAGAAAATGCGTTCACAATGATGTGGTTAGTTACTCTTAAGTACTTGACATGTGGCAAACATAGTGCTGTATACGAATTGATTCTATTTGTAAACGTATCCGGCAATCAAGTGGACGTTTTAACGAGTAAGAACTGTTTATATTCATATGTTATCTGTTAATCAATGTTCCTATTTAAATAATGTGTAATTTTCAGAAAAATAGACAGTTAAACACCTAAAATAGAGCAAATTGCTTACATTGTAGTTATTTGGTACTGAATCTGTCTCAATTAGTCTTCATGTAGTTGAGACGTATTTTCTGAGTATTGATAATAACGTGTAAATATACTGAATATTTGTAATCGAATTTGTCAAAGAATTGTACTCGTTCAGCGATGTGTACAACTTCTCGAACATATAGATGTAGGCCTTCATTGTCTAGATGCAATACCATTTATGTTTAGTATGAACAACAGTGTGGATTGCTGTTGATTTTTTAAAATAAAATATAAGTTCATAATTTGTTGAAAATGTTGTTTATTATCGTAAAATACAATCCTTCGTTTACCATATTTATGCACATATATCCATTAATTGTGTTTTCAGGCGTTGACAATAACAGCACAATGACTGCATGGGGTAAGCATATAATTCAATCTCATATATTCGAAATCACTATTCTACACAAATTCGTTGTCACAACATTCCCAAAAAGCACGCAAAACAACAATATGCCATATAAATATATATATTTACATAGAGTTCCATCATTTCTTGGAATTGTTCGTAATTTATTATTAGTTTGTCATTATCTTGACTGACTGACTGACTTTCTGTGAATTCAGGAACATGAATCACACAAAAGACGTAATAATGATGTGAATTTGGTTCATGAAAGAATGTAGCTGGTAGGAGGCTTATTATAGCTACTGACAAAATATGGAGGTTTACGACAAATCCACATGATTATTTCCATAACACCAGATATTCTGTGAAGTCTACGCACACACGGACACACACACAGATCAATAAATGATAATAGTACTAATACTTATTCTTATTATTTCCTTTGAAACTGTATTTCAAAAATCATCGGAGACCACTGATGTAAGTTGTGTTCACTGACTAAACATGGACATTCAAGGCACAAATATTCAGCCTTCTTCAGTTAATTCTACACTAATATTGAAAAATCCGATGATTCATTTTCCAATTTAGAGTAATTCGTTTGGATGACAACAAATGATTTTCTTGTGCTTACACACAAACCATCAATTTGCTGAAGGAGGTGGTTCACTGAGTACATATCCTATTCTAACTCAAAATAATATCTATTAATTAGTGTGATTGGCTTATCAGTACAATAATTCAGACACAGTATTCATTTATTTGGCAGATAATCTAATATTTTACACACTTGATGTGCAATTGTAATCATTGTTCACTTTTTCTTCGTGTGTTAAAGACGGATATTTCGATACCCTATGTAAGTAACATAAATATGTACATATACATATGTTTTGTCAAACAGGCGATGACTCAAAATGCCTGTACACTCTGTTTTTCAGTTGAATGAATTTGCGAATTTTTTCTATTGTGTGAGAAAAAATTTTGAAACATGAACCGCATATTTTACATTAACTTGATGAAAGAGTTTGTTGACAGAGTTCAGCAGTTAAAACACGGTTTGGTGCAACTCAAAACTGTACCAATTCGACTGTACTATTGAGTTAATAATACAGTATTTCAGCTGATAGATTCAATTACTTCATAATCGATCATGTCATTTTAAATAATTGCTGCATAAATGTAATCACTATTCACTTCTTTCCTTATATGTAAAAGCTGGAGTTTGGGGTTCATTTGGTAAGTTGCTTGATTATGTTGAGCATTGAATGAAGTTGTTTGGATGGTTTCACATGAACTACTGTCTCGATTTTGTTCGTGACTTCCTAAACTATTTATAGTGGAGAACTATTCGAGTTGAGGCATAAATAATTTCCCATGTTCAATAATCCGCGACAAGCTGTGTATGTGGGTAGATCAACTGGATATCATACGAAAATATGAGACATGATTCAGTGAATGGGAAACAACTGGAGGACAGTTCAGTGATGTTGTTTCTGAAGTGGTAAAAGTCTCGACCATGGAATGAAGAGTTTTCGTGAATCCACACAAAAATTCATGAAACATGCAATGTAGCTTCTCAAGCTGTGTTGTCTTTAGTAACCAAACAGTAATAGACCGATGTGAAATCCTATTTCACATCTTATTTTATAAAGTTGCTTTATTTTCGTTTGCCTCATGGTCAGCAAGTAATTGGTCGACTGGTTGTTTCTTCATAATTTGAAAGTGGACAAAGTTCACTTTCAGTAGTTTGATTGCCTCTCAGTGATGAGGAGACTTTGTTTGATGTTAAGTCTATCGGGGAGCGTTGCATGTCTTCACTCCTGCGTGTTCAAGCTGTTCACCAGTCCAAATGTCTGTACGGTGACGAAAGAGTAAGTGATTTTAGAGACTATCACTCGTTAGTAATAACTGGAAGCTATTTGTTTCACCACTCGACGTGAAGACGTAATCGGGTAAGCTTTTGCTTCCAAATAAGATTGTGGATGAAATTCAGCTAACAATACAGAAACATATTTGTTTTGCAATACGACTCATTGTAGTGTGATTTCGATTTGTTAAATAGTTAACCTTTATTGGATAAGTAATAACAGTTTCGATGTTTGCGATTTCAGTTTCAGATTCAGATGCCACGTTATTTGAAATCGGTATGTTATGGTGCGCAAAATTTTAATGTCGACACCTTGAATGAATTTATACGTCTGATGAATTGACGAAGATTCTGAGTGATGAATGAACAACCGAATTTCAGAAGCATAAATTTCCTGTAGAGATACTTTTGGTTATCTTTACCTTGCATATTGAATTAATCAACAATGTTTATACCTATTACACTCATTTTCCTCTCGCAAACCTTGTCATTTTTTCCACGTCACAGATCTGTGTCGTAGATGGATGAATAACCGTAGAGAAATTACAGGACATACGTTTGCTGTTTATATATATATAATACTCGTTTCCGTTAGTACACATTTTACTGAATCACTTCAAATCAGTAAGTATCAAACCCACGAATACAACATCGCAAAAAGCAAACGTTCAGCACCGTAAAATGCAATTATTCGTGCGCCATATTTATGTATATCTATACATTATTCGTGTTTTCAGATACTTACAATAAAAGCACAACAAATGCAACCGGTAAGCATATTATTCAGTCTCATATATTCGAAATCACTCTTCTATTCAAATTAGCGGTCGCATTATTCCTCAAAACACTCAAAACAACAATAACCAATTATTATATCACAATGATGATGATGATCATCATCATCAGCAGCAGCATCAGCTGTGAAGTGAGTGAGCTTGCCAGAATATCATGCATTTATCTTTAGAAATGGAAGGATGAGGAATCAATCACTTCTCAATTTCTTACCGAAGTCTGATTCATTGCATTTCATCTCATAAAGACCGTTTTCCTCAATTCATATTGTCTGACCAAAAGCTTGAACAAATGTTAAGGTTACTTCCAATGATAACAAACAATTATTAAATTTTTGGAAACACAGACTAATTAGTCAATTGTCGGTGAGAATAAAAGTTAGAACAATTCAGTCAAAATCTCTATTAATTGCACATAATTTAGGAAACGCTTAGTGATTTCAAATTCTGTGAGTTGATATGAACAATTTGTAAAGAGTTGCATTTTAACTATTTAACAAATGAATGTGCTGTAGTGAACAGAACACGAATGGGGTCGATCGAATGTACTTAATACAAAATTACAGAGCACCTCAACAAAATCTGAGAGCCATATATTAAATCGTTAATTTGCAAAATGTCCACCAATTGTTCCAAAATGCTTCAGACTTCATTGCCCTCACTTTTTCATACACAATTACGTTCTATTTCTGCTCTTGCTTTCTTGATCTTCCCTCATCTTCTGCTGCCGTACATTACATTTCTGACCGCATAATATACTACTTATATCAATATAAGTAGCACGCACCGCAATGTCAGTAAAATCAGGTTGAATATAAAATCTTCACAATGAGGTTATTGTCAATACTCGAAAGTCAGTATCGAATTTTCAACAGTATATAAATCTTTTGTTAGCTCTTCAATGAATGAAAATAATCTTGTAATTGTATTATCTAAACGATAATTTTATCTATTTGTACAATATTTTAAGTATATGTTAGCTAAACGTAAGGGGATTATTGTAGGTACAGTTAGTTATTACATGATTATCCAGAGAATTATTGGTCGAACAAATATCATTTATAAATTAATTAACTTATATATAATTCCTCTTACATGCACAATTAGACCTTGTTTAGTTTGTCACATTCTCCTAATCAAAGATAATACTAACCACAATAAAGGATGTCTGTGCAATATGTATCTATTCTACATTGAATAAAGTATTTACATCTGAATAACTACACATGAACACTAACGAATTTGCAAGAGTTACTTTGTATTAACAATCAGAACCATCACGAATACTATTGTAGTGTGCAACACTGATATTTTTTCTAGTCTAGTCAAATTAATTACGCTTTTATCGCTTTTCATTACACCATTTTCAATGATAATCATCAAAGTTGAAAATGAAACACAATTGTACTCACCGAACAGTTAAGAAATAACAAATCACACTAAACTCACTCCTATATTGAATCAAGTAGTTGGATACCATGTTTAGACAGCTTATCGATAATACATTTACAAACACTAAACACTTACTGTGCAATAGATTGCCATCACTGAACAGGTAAAATTAAGATAGGACAGTGAACAATAATTGTTTGCTGAAGTGTTGATAAATGTATAAAATGTACTGTGAGGAAATTTGGTTTAATTCAATGAGTCTACTAATCACAATTTCAATGAGTCTACTTTTCTTACAATATCAAATTACGTAGGAATACAATCCCTGGAGACATAAAGTGCTGTCTCTCACAAATGTCTCAGTTTCACAGAGTCGAGTTTCTTCGTTTGACTAATGCATTTACAAAAATTGATGATTACATCAATGGTGATAAAGCATTTTCGATACAGTGATCAAAAGTGCATCAACTGTCTTATCAATCCACAGATCTTGGTTTCATCAGAACCATACTTGTGAAGTTTCTATCGACTTCATTACAGTTGATTTTACAGTAAGATCTCAGTGGGAAATATAAACAACTACCCAGTGATGAGTGCCATCAACAAGTGATTATGAAATCAGAACGACTCTGCATTGGATGAAATATGCATCTGTGTGAACGATTGTTCGAATGATTGAAAGGCAAACAACATTGACCGGTTGAAACCACTCGGATTATTATCAATTGTTCTGCAAAGTCTTACTTACACTTGCATTCATGTTCTCCTTGTTGTTTCACAGTATTACATAATCAATACAAACTATTTCATTGACGACCATATTAATGAGTAAACTCACCTTTGATTTCAGGTACACATGAAATCTCCTAAATTTAATGTTGATTAGATTATTGCTTAAATAAACCTTATAATTTTGTCAGTGTGTTCTATTTTACGAAATGATTTTGACGGATTTCACTTGTCCCACATACTTCAGTTCGTTGAAACAATCAATTAAAATCGCTGACGCATAAACAACAGTCTCTTCAAGATAATAAATGTATCACACAGCTAGAGCCTATTTACACTAGCAGAGTGGTGATCGTCTGTCACAACATTCACTTTACTGAAACAAGATTCAGACATATGGTTCTGACCGTCAGTTAGCAAATTAGGAAAGGGTGTAGCAGGTAGATAAGTTATTTGGTGACATTCTTCTGTGAGAAGAAAGATGATGGGAGACTGGAGGACTCTTTCAAGCTAGCAAATATCCAGAAAATAGAATAAAATTGAATAAGTGTGCAAACTAACAATGGTAAATACTGAGATTATTTTACTAATAGAGAATGTCACAAACAAAATCTATCGAGCTGCAATATATATTTTTAAGGGAAAACCACATTTCGATAGATTATCAACATGTCTATAATAGACAAGTGGAACAAGTGGAAGCTAAACCAAGGACACAGTTACGATTAGAATTCTGATGATTCGCCCACTAATAATTCTTCTATGGGAGATGAACGAACTACTCAGTTGAAAAGCAGAACACCACACTAGTAAATCCAGTCGACAGACAGAGTTAGAAATAGTATGTGGAGACCAGAAGATAGTCGGCTAATGTGTGACTGATGTTGATTATCTCGAATTTCTCTATTTCCCATATTTCGACCCACTTCCCATCAAATTTCAATGACGTTTTCGTTGTCAATCGTTTAGTCGCACTGATTCTGTTGCAATCACATTCATTTTCATTGCTTCTGATTTCTGTAAAGTAAACATAATAGTCAATTCACATCAAGTTCACTCATTGTTGATACATTCATTTATAACTGTCAAGACAAACTATGTGGCTGACTTGCGTCTTCTCAGATCGTGACGCACAGTGACACCTGCATAATTCGTATAGGAAGGATGAGTCTCATTAGAATTACTATTATGCCTTCCCGATCACAGCAAACTAGAACGAAACTCAATTCTCAATTTCAATGCTGATTATCTCTAGCTATCTGAATTGTCAGCATGGTGCACACGATTTCGAGTAAATTGGATCAACTAGAAGAGATTTTCATTCTCACAAATATGTTCATTTGTGATTTTTGAAAAGTATAATACGATTATTTGCTGTTTTTTATTAAATCATACTTTTCAAGGGTCCATTTCCAACAAACAAGACACATCACGTTTTTTGAATTTCTACTCACATACAGTTTCCAAATCGTCGATGTTGACATGATTCACTACAGGCATCTGCATAAGAGTGATCGCTAAAACTAACACACTACAATCCACGAGAAGTTCAATTCCTAACATCTGAAAACTGTGAAACAGTATTCAATTAACTTGAATTTGAGCAAGGAAATCGGAAAATAGATGTGAGGTCAATGAGTTATTTAGCAGTATCTGACAAGGAGAGTATAGAGTAGAGTTGTCTGAAATACTCTAATCCGCGCGCCATGCCTCGAGACTAGCAACAGATCTAAAATATTAAGTTATTTGGCTACTAGAATCACTAAATATTTCCCAAAATAACTTTGATGGAGTATTTGTTTTTAGCGTAATGGATTAATCATGCTAAGATATGCTATTATTATAGCGTAAAATATAAGTAATAGCAAGTTCCGGTGACTATAAAGACCTAAGAGTCATAACGAGCAGCGATCTCAAAACTACGAGCAACTACAAAGCTGCTGCTGCCAAGGGCTTTAGGGTGTTATGGGCTATCCGTAGCTCTTTTCAGTACTTGGGCGAAGAAATGTTGGGAGTATTATACCTGACTTTCGTGGAACCGCATTTGGAATATAGGATTAAAGCAGCAAGTCCTTGGTTCAAGTATGAGGAGGATATGCTGGAACGAGTCCGACGACGAGGGACTCAAATGGCAAAAGATCTCCCTGGCCCATCTTGTGAAGACAAACTGAAACACCTCAACTTGTTTTAGTTATTTTGTCTCAGATTATAAAGTGATCTAATATTGGCTTATCGTATGCCGAACGCCGACCTTGATATTTAAATGTCCTATCTTTTCCTTCCGTCTAGAACTGAATATTTGAGGGAACATTCTAAGAAAATTCAAAAACCGAGACCAAATCATCCACGTCTAGAGTTTTTTTCTCGTATTAAGTAGTGAATTACTGGGGTTCTCTACCAGTGCACGCATTATCAGGACCTTCTACTGATATATTGAAAACGAGATTGGACCTCCATAGTGTTACAAATTGCAAGGATTAATA